AAAAAAAAAAAAATTAGCTTATTGGTTCTACCAACTACGTCTAATAATTTTCACCTGGCACAATTCACTTATTCAAGAGTAACTGAATAGGAAGGAAGTACTAGGCTTAGTATTGTGGGAGATTCAATTCCAGGAACAAGGCTACGTTAACAGTCATTACTAAATGACAAAGCTGTTTTTCTATGGATTATAATAATTTTCTCTGAAGACTTTCTTTTGCGGCCAGGTGTGGTAGCTCATGCCTGTAATCCCAGCAGTTTGGAAGACAGAGGCAGGTGGATCACTGGAGGTCAGGCGTTTAAGACCAGCCTGGGCAACATGGTGAAACCCCGTCTCTACTAAAAATACAAAAATTAGCTAGGTGTAGTGGCACACAACTGTAATCCCAGCTACTTGGGTGGCTGAGGCACAAGAATCGCTAGAACCCGGGAGATGGATGTTGCAGTGAGCTGACATCACGCCCCTGCACTCCAATTTGGGTGACAGAGCAAGACTCTGTTTCAGGGAAAAAAAAAAAAAGGCTTTATTTTGCATTACAGAAACCAATCTTAGTAGCCTGAATTTACCAGAGGTGACCAAAATTCTTTAAAACGTACAGGTATAAGAATGTGGGCTCTGGAGTCAAACTGGGTTCAAATTCCTGATTTACCTTCTGATCATTACATGACAAGTTAATGGAGCTCCCTAAGCCTCAATTTCCTTTTCTGTAAAATGTAGGTAATACCTACCTATCAGCACTAGTCTTGAGGCACAAGCGCTCACTGAATGTCCATTTGTAATATAATAAACTGGAATAGGCGTTAGTGGTTAATCCTTTCTCATGTGTCAGCCTCTCTACTTCACAGCACTGTTGTATGTGTATCGTCCACTGCCCTAGACTGAACTACACATAGCGCTCTCAATACTAGAAGATATTTCACACTTCTTAGAGATACTCTTCCCTTCCTGGACTACTTAGCAAAGTCTTACGCCTCAAGACTCAGCCCACACATCTCTCATTTATTTGGTCACTTACACATCATCCAACATTTTTTTTTAAACACTCTAAATGACATCCTCATTCTGGAAGCACATATATCAGCAATTAAAACATGTAAAATTAGCACTGCTTAGGAGAACGCCTATTGAATACGCATCTTAGATTATCTTCCTTTTTAGAAAACTCATCCCACGTGCTACACGCCTGGTGAAACTCGTTACTTGCCAGTAAGATATTGTCCCCAAATGTACTTACCATGTTTTTGTGCACTATAAGCTTTGTTCAGTTTATACTTTCTAGGCCCATGACTAACGATGAGTCAGATATCCAGCTGAGATATCACTTTTTTTCTGAAAACAATGTGAGCAATGGACAAGTTCGCTGAGATTAAAGGGAGAAAAGCTGTAACGACTCCCGAAATTTCTTCTCCTTGTGAAATATGCATATGTAACAGGAAGTTAAACGACCAGACTTAATGCATACTGAACAGAATCTTGTTTCAAAGAAATGAAATACGGAGGCACTTTCACCACAGAAACATCCCATTACATATGCTAACTGCAATATTTATGTTCAGAACTCTAAGAACGTGTCTGATACTCTTTATTAGTTAGGAATTCCTGAAAAGGAACTTCTGTGCAAACCTGGAGCTCAAATACATGGGGTGGGGAGGGTGGGAAGGGATAATGAGGGGAGAAACACCAGATACAGGTGATGGGGGATGAAGGCAGCAAACCACCTTGCCATGTATGCAACAATCCTGCATGATCTGCACATGTACCCCAGAACCTAAAGTACAGTTTTAGAAAAGCAGTGTGCTTACTGATTTGATAAAAGGGAAATTGGCAACGTGGACATGTGCTCACCTCACAAATCTGACAACAGTATCTCTGCAGTGCCATTCTTTACACACCATTAAAAGGTATCGTGAATAGATTAAATGTTAAAAATATGGACTATTAAGAATGATTCTGTATATTTGAACACACATTTATGTTCAAATATTCATATCAATAAAAATGCTTAAAACTACCCCTTGGGTAAGTAAGTATAATAACAGACTTGCAATTGCAGACTGTATGGCTCTTACTACAAAACCAAAATTAGAATGGGAAGACCACTTATCTTTAGAGGGCAAGCTTGAGCTTGTCCATCATCATCATAAACGCACCAACAGAAGGGGATCACCAAAAATGTAGGGAAAAAGAAACGCTCGGCCGGAGTTTTAGCTTCTAGGCAGATCCTTCTGGAAGGAGGCTGAGGGCGAGCCCGGGGAGCAGCTCTGACGTCCGCGGCTGCCGTCGGGTCAGGTCACGCACGCCCGACTGCACCCGCGCCCAGGACGGCGGCTTCGCCAGCCCCGCGGGTCTCGATCGCGCGCGGCGTGGACCGGCGTGCGTGACGGCCCCAGCGTGAGCGGCCTCTCCTCGAGGGTCCCTCCACAAGCGTCCCTGGGCGGGCCGGGCTCGGCCGCTGCCGCTCGGGACAGCCATCCCCTGGGATTCGGGCCCGTCGCCCCTGCCTCCACTTCCCGGGCTACGAGGACGGCGACGGCGCGTGAGGTAAAGGAACTTGCGTTCCCCGGCGCCGGGAGCTGCCTGTGGCTCCCCGTTTCCTGGTTACGTGCGCGCAGGCAGAGCCAAAACCTGCGGCCGAAGCTCCCGCTTCTCCAGAAGGATCAAAGGGCGGGCGCGTTACCAGGAGACGTGTCAAACGCAGCACGCCTCATGGCGGCCGCGGAACCCCACCCACCCCGACGCCCGTCCTACCCCGCCCACTGACTTGCCTTGCGCACGCGCGCTGAGGCTACGTGGGGCGGCCGCGGGCCCCGCCCCTAGGTGGGCGGGCCCGGCGCCACCGCAGCTGGCCAATCGGCGGATGGCCCCGCGCGCCCGCCCCTTTTCTCCGCCCCCGGCGCCGGCTCCACGTGCCAGTGTTTGTGTACGTGCCGCCGTTGCTGGGCTGGGCCGGGTCCGGGCTGCTGTGGATTAGGCTGCCCGGGCGCAGCTGCCAAGGGCTGGCCCGCAAGTCCCAGCGGTCTTTAAATTCTCCCGTGCTAGGGCGGGACCGCGCACTCTTACCTGCCAGGGTGCGGCGAGTGTCCCACCGCTCTGCACTCCAAAGGACTTTTGTCATCTGCCGGAGGCGGGAAATGCTGTTGCTCGATTGCAACCCGGAGGTAAGACTTGGGCTCACAGAGCTCGAGCTTTTGTCCTGCAGGCTCAAGCTTCCAGACGCGTCTTCTCGGGAACGCGGGGACTCGCCACTGGGCGCTGCCTGGTCACGCCTCGTCAGAGCTGGTTTTGAAGTTGGGGGAGTTTTGGCAGCCCAGAGAGGCGCGGGACTGGACAAAAGTGAGAAGGGTGCTGGATGTCTTTTCTTCCCGCAGGTGGACGGTCTTAAGCATTTGCTGGAGAAAGGGGCCTCGGTCAACGCACCCCCGGATCCCTGCAAGCAGTCGCCTGTCCACTTGGCTGCAGGAGGCGGCCTTGCTTGCTTGCTTCTCTGGCAGCTGCAGACGGGCGCTGACCTCAACCAGCAGGTAACTAGGTAACTGATTGTTGCTGTGTACAGCTCTCCCCTCCCTCCCAGATCCACACAAACATGTCTCAGACACCAAGAACACCAATTGTTTCAGCTGTTATAAACATGTCTATAGCAGTGATGTCCAATAGAAACAGAATTCAAGACATGAATGTAATTTTTTTTTTTTTTTTTTAAAGAGACCGGGTTTCTCCATGTTGGACAGGCTGATCTTGAACTCCCAACCTCAGGTGATCCACCCATCTGGGCCTCCCAAAGTGCTGGGATTACAGGCGTGAGCCACCACGCCCGGCGTCTAATGTTTTTTTTTTTTGAGACCTTGGCTTGCTCTGTCACCAGGCTGGAGTGCAGTGGCGCGGTCTCGGTTCACTGCAGCCTCAGCCTCGCAAGTAGCTGGGACTACAGGCATGCGCCACCACATCCCACGCCCGGCTGATTTTTTTTTTTTTTTTTTTTTGTATTTTAGTGAAGACAGGGTTTCACCATATAGGCCAGGATGGTCTGATCTCCTGACCTCCTGACCCGCCCACCCTGGCCTTCCAAAGTGCTGGAATTACAGGCGTGAGCCACCGTTTCCGGCTGACAGATGTAATTTTAAATGTTTTTTTTTTTTCCAGCCTTGATGTGAAGACATGAGAAATTTCAAATTTTTAAGTAGCCACATTAAAAAAGGGAAATGAAACATGAAATTTTAGTAATGTAATCCGATTGGTCCAAAATACTATCAATTCACGGCTGGGTGCACTGGCTCACGCCTGTAATCCCAGCACTTTGGGAGGAGAAGGCAGGAGGATCACCTGAAGTCAGGAGTTCAAGACCAGCCTGGCCAACATGGAGAAACCTGTCTCTACTAAAAATACAAAAAAATTAGCCAGGCATGGTGGCAGTTACCTGTAATTCCAGCTACTGGGGAGGGTGAGGCAGGAGAAGTGCTTGAACCTGGTAGGCAGAGTTTGCAGTGAGCCAAGATCACACCGCTGGATGCAGTTTGGGTGACAGAGTGAGACTCTGTCTCAATAAAAACAAAAAAAATCAAAATATTATCGGTTCAATATGTAATCAACATAAACCAATTGCTGATTAGATTATTTTACGTTTTCTTTTATTCTGTGTCTTCACATTCTGGTGTGACAGCGTATCTCAAATCAGACTAGCTGCATTACGAATACTGTAGCTTTAAGTGGCTGTTGACTATCTTATTGAACAGCATAGATCTACAGTTTATTTCAAAAGAAATAATTGCTATATTACCAAGTCTCCCTCCAGCAATTTAAATTCTTGTGAGATATGTCCACAGCCATTCTAATTTCCTAAAGAACTTTCTTACTGTAGTTTTCATCTTCCATTAAATATTTAAGCATGGGGAATTTTAAATTGTAAACTCTTCTGGGACAACTCTTTTTATTTGCTTACATTTTAATGTATGTGGATATGGCTACAAGTTTTTATTTATTTGTTCATTGAGATGGAGTTTGGCTCTTGTCACCGAGGCTGGAGTGCAATGGTGTGATCTCAGCTCACTGCAACCTCTGCCTCCTGGGTTCAAGTGATTCTTCTGCCTTAGCCTCCCTAGCAGCTGGGATCACAGGTGCACACCACCACGCCCAGCTAATTTTTGTATTTTTAGTAGATATGTGGTTTCACCATGTTGGCCAGGGTGGTCTCAAACTCTTAACCTTAGGTGATCTGCCCACCTCCCGAAGTGCTGGGATTACAGGCGTGAGCCACGGCACCTGGCCACACATATTTTTATTAATGAAAACTGTATGAAAAAGCAAACAGAACTTATCAAAAAATAAAAAGGTTTTACAGCCTACAGAAGAAAAAAACAAAAATAAAAAGCTTGAATTAAAATTTCAGTCCATACAATGCAGTTCTAAGTAGCTTCCTTAAATAGCTAATATTAGATGTCACTCACCAACTTCCATAAAAAAGTATTTTTGGGAGACTCTAAAATGCACTGTCTTACCTTAAGGATGTTTTAGGAGAAGCTCCACTACACAAGGCAGCAAAGGTTGGAAGCCTGGAGTGCCTTAGCCTGCTTGTGGCCAGTGATGCCCAAATCAAGTGAGTACGACATCATGGCTTCACACTTTATGTTTTCTTGGATTAAATAATCAGACTCCTGAAGCATAGTTACATGTGCTTTCAAAAATAATGCTTGCCTAATTGACAATTTAGTGTTGTCATTTAAATGTTAACTTAGGCTGTTGGTGCTGTCTAATAATACTCAGTTTGAGTAAGTAGAAAGATCCTGAGCAGTCAGAGTTGCAATTCTGTTCATTAGACGGTATTCTACTTCAATCGGCTTAGGAAAACCAATTCTATAGTTCTCATTGACTACCTTTGGGTACTCATCCACTGTATTAAACAGCAAATAATTCTTCATTCAAAAATGGAATGCCCGCTCTATGCTGGATTCTGTTAGCTGCTGAGAATACAAAATGACCAAAAATGCACTTTCCCTATGCGTTCTTTACCTCTTCTGTTCTGCAGCCAACATTTGTATGAGCCCAAAATTCCTTTGTAAGATACTAAAAAAACACTTTAGAAGTTCAATTTTTCATTTAACTCAATTTTTATCACATTTTCAGTTTATGTAACAAGAATGGGCAAACAGCTGAAGATCTCGCTTGGTCGTGTGGATTTCCAGAATGTGCCAAGTTTCTTACAACAATTAAATGTACGCAGACAAGAAAATCAAGTGAATACTCTGACAGGGATGACTGTGCTCCTGTGCTCAGACAGAAACGAAGTTTTGGAAGTGCAGAAAATATCAGTGGGAAAAGGAAGTGTTGGTAAGTGACTCTGAGCTGCCGCTCTGTTCCTCCGTGATCTCTTGCGTGCACAGCATTTGTTATTCTAGTGACATTGTAATAGTCTGGAGACCAAAAATGTGCCTGCATGGTAGAAGTTTGGGGATAAAACTCTTTTTTTAAAAAAAGTTTTTAATGTTAATACGTTTTTTAAAAACAGATGTCACGTGGGTCATGAAGAAGTCTGAAGAAACGCCTTCATTTCATGCAGATGTATGAGCTCCAGCTTTTGGCTTACCATATGTGTCTAAACGCCTTCTGAGAAGGAGGAAATCCTTTCTTCCAAGTGAAGATCCATTTAAGAACACATGTATTTACATGCCTGTAATATGCTGGTTGTGTATGCTTTGTCTTTTAAGTTATTAAAGGGATGTGTGAAAAATACATTCTCTGTGCAGTATTTACAACCTTTGAAAAAGGTCATAGTTTAAACTGTCAAACTAAGACCAGAATTTAATGTGAAATTAAACTGATTCTTTATCCACCAATTTATAATACCACTCTACTGCAGTCTTCAATCTAATAATATATTATTTTAAATCATATTTGGTCGTTGAGGAAGACATAAGTTATAGTATGCATCCTTGTTCCAAAAGTCTGGGCCCTTCCATCCGCACCAGCCCTGGATAGGGGAGAAGGGAAAGGAAAGCCTTTTATAAAGTTGCAAGATTATGTGATGGAAATCATGACATCACATTCTGTCAGCAGGACCTTGGCAGAAACTAAATGCCTTTATCATTCAAGGATTTGAATTCCTACTAGGCATAGAAAAGTAACTTTTATCTGGGTCCCTTTGAGGTAGATTTTTGAACTTTTTTTTTTTTTTTTTTTTT